AAAAAAATATCTTGAACCGTCCATAATAGTTATCTTTTCATTAAAATCCGAAATAAAATGACAAAAAGTCACAAATAATGTGTTTATAATTGTTTGAATACATAAGAAATTTTTTGTAATAATTTCTTTTTATTACATATATTCATTTTACAGTTTACGAAATTGTCATAAGCCTTGATAAATGAAGATTTATCAAATGTCAATCATGCAAAGGATATATTTCTTGGCACCATGAAGCCATTTAAGTACCCAGCCACTTTGACAAACTGTTTTCTTTACAATTTTTTTATCATGTTTAATTTCTGTTAAGAGAACATTTTGTTTACAAAGTTGTTTATAATAGTTCAAGAAAATATAAAAATGTGTTTGAATATAAGTGTTTTCTTACTCAAAGGATAATAATCTCGAAACTGCATGGATTGTGACTTTTTGTCCTGTGACTTTTTGTCATGTGACTTTCTGACCTACATGCCCATAATACAAAAGAAGAATGGTCGTTGCCTTTCGTCAATTTAGCAGCGTGAATTCATCTTCCAAATAAAGTTTATATAAGTTAATTTAAATTATGTATCTGATACACTGTATCCTTTAATTTAAACCAATTTATTATTTCTTTATTTAGCTTCGCTCCATTATTGCTTTAAGAGTCCATAAAAGTTTGAAGCAAAGGTCAAATCAAAGGTCGCTCACATGAAAAGATTATAAACATTAATTATAGAATGATTACTTAGTCTTTCAATTTATTCAAGGTGTAATGACTTTCTCCTATATTTGCTTAACATTAATTATGCAAGAAAGGAACTATTTATAAGGCACCGAAAATTCAATAAAAATCGATCCACAATTATGTCATTTATATATACAGTTAAGTTCCTTTGTTACGAATGAATAGGTTTAGATGTTCGGTCCTATGAGAAATCGATGAAATCCTATGTCGAAATAAAATGGATTTTAACGTTTAGAGTGGCAACAAATAACGTTTGTCACGTACAGTTTTTTTTTCTTCCTTTTTTTTTCAGGAGGCACACTTTAATGTAGTCGAAATAACGCAGAAGGCAAACATGTTGCTCCTTTGCTTAAATTAAAAAAAAAAAAAAATACGTGAAAAAAAAAACATTTATTACATTGGTTAAAACAGGAACATATATATTGATATTAGATATACTGTTCCCAGGTTAAAATCGTCATTGTATTTTTAATAATTTTTTACAATTATGCCGCTTTTCCTCGGATCCGCCCTTGAATATATGAAAACAGAGACATATATATGTGTATGTATGTCTCTGATGAAAACCATTGAAATTCTGTAAGGTTATCTTTGAGTGTCTTTAATACACAGTATTCGAATTTCAGAAGTTTTCAACAACTGTCAACATCTGACCCTGTCGGTAAAACCGAAATACAGAGTGGCATAGGCCATGGCACTTTTATCTTTAACAATTCATAAACTGACAAATTCTGATCACATATGCAAATAATGACATGTTTATTGCTAACTTTAGATTTTTTTTATGTTTATGAGACCAACTGATTGATTTTGCCTCCTGTCATATCATTTAATAGAGCCAAAGACGTTTATTAGAGGATATGGATGGGGGTCCTTCATTTCTGTATTCTTTAATTTTTTCGCTTATTATTCTTTAAGATCTTTGAAAAACAATGGATATTCTGTAATTACTTGATAACTGTATTCTGGAGGACATTGTTTTTTCTGTAATCTGTATAATTTTACCGAATTCTTTTTGCAGTTAATCCTTTATTATTATTTTAGCACCCCATTATTCTCTATTCTTTGTTGTTTTTTTTTGCACATTTTTCTCTTTTCTTATTTTTGGGCCCATTATTCGTGTATTAACAGAATAATAATAATAATAATAATAGATTTTCCCCACTCCTTTTCACATTTTAATCAAATTAAATTTTCCTAACTGTTACGTAGCTATAGGAAATATTAGCGGAAATGTATAAATTGTAGCGCAAACTCGTTCGTACTTTAGTACTTTAATTCTTTTGATCTCCGAAGCTTAAATAAATCATAGATGTATGGTTTAATTCATCTATGGATAAATGAAACCATAAATTGGACATTAGATTTATTTTTCCCGATTTAGTTTGTTGTCAAAGTAATTATGCCCATGTTATAAAAACAAATTTTATCACAATATTTTGTCAACAATATCTTCCTTCCTTATCCGTCAAATCCAGATCAATGACACTGATTTATCATGATAATACAAGATAACAGATTTTTTATTGTTTGTCAATAATCATGTCTGTTGATTTATGACCCTGTTACCTACTAATACCTATTGACCAAGATTTAGCAATTACGCAATCATGTTTTTCAGTCCCTTTAAAATATATTACGTAATGTAATGCTCTAATAATTTCTATTTTGTCAAACTTGTCAAATTTTGACGAGGCTAATTTATGATCGAATATACACAAATCTATCGATTTTGATTGGATGAGAAGAAGCCATATGGTTCGGTAAATACTACATACCAATATCGACCCCCAACTACTGGGCACACAAAGACATCAACAATTATTGTTTGGAAAATTAAGAAAAAATTGCATAAAGGTAAGATTTTTTTCGTGCAAAAATACGACATTAATATAAATAAATTTGAGATGAGGAGCAACAATAAAAGAGTTGTTCATTTGCTTTGGGCTTTGTCATGTAAATCTGTGCAGGGATTGTGTGTAATTAGGATTTGCACCATATCATTATTTTTCTATTACCGCTGAGTTTCATCTTTTCGTGAAATTTTTTCCATGAAAAATCAATTTTAAGCAAAACCTGTAGTTTTTAGTTTTTGGGATTTCTTGTAAGGTAACATATATATATACTTGTTCCATGCCCACTGGCAGAAAATAGGATAACAAGGTAGGTAAATTGATTTTAAAATTTAAAATACTTAATGTTTCACCAAAAATGTGATGATTTTTACGACTCTAAACCGACTTGAATGTCCATAAAATGTGTCAAGGGAGGCAGGACAATTTTAAGATCGGTAAGGAGACAGGAAACAGAACAATATTTGTATGGCCTAAATCAATATTGCGCTGTTTGGATTCTTTTAATGAAAACATTTTCATTTGCAACGACCTCTTTATTGATGAGGTAGGTCCAATTTCACATGTCATTATTTCACTAAAAGCAGAGTCTGGAAGGACATATTCATAGAGGGTACAAGTCAAATCGGCATCTGGTCAATTCGGCACCCAAAGAAAAAGTCAAATCGGCACCTATTTAAAGTCATTTCGGCATTTGGTTAGTCAATTTAGCACCAAATATTTGTCTTAACCTTTTTCTTTCCTTTTTATTTGACAATGTTTGAGGTATGAGGTATGGGGAGAATAGTTTTTTTATATATATCTTTTTTGCAAAACGTACAATTGCAGAGGTTAATTAAAAAGATACATCTCCTACATCGTTAAAAATCAGTGCATGTAATTAAGCAGTATCAATACACAATGAAAATTAATCAGTTATTTGCTGTTTGAAGTTTTCTCAATATTAACAGATATTATGGCATTGTTTATAACAAAGTTTCCATGGGAACTTCTGTTATGCATGACAAATATATGTGACGCTTCGAACGAATATCTTAAAAAATATGAAAAAAGGAGTCTTCAATAGTTTACTTGCAAAACATAATATAAATCATTAGTGCCAAAATAACTACCTTGGGTGCCGAATTAACCAGGTCTCGATTTGACTAGATGCAGAATTGACTATACCGGGTGCCTATTTAACCAGGTGCCGAAGTGACTAGTAAGACTTTTTATATAGAGAATAATGGGCTAAATCTACATAAAAAGGGGCCAGACAAAATAAAGAATAGAGTAAAACAGACAATACAAATTTATCAAAAAAATCAGAGAATAATGAGGTGCTAAAATATAAAGAATGGAGAAAAACTACATAAAATTAAAGTATACAGTAATATAGACCCCAACTCAGACTCTCTAAAATGGTCATAATCAGAGAGTTGTTATAATTTTCTGGTATTCCAATATTTCAAAGTCTTATAATATTCCTACAAAAGTTATGTACAAATTTACATGTTTATGTACAAAATTGTTTCGAAGGACGCCTCTAGCCAAAAATGATTTGGTCAAATGTTCGAAATTACACATAAATGATTTAAAAGTACACATTTGAATCTATGATACCTGAAGTCCATTACATGTACATGTACTAGTAATAGACATTTTGTGGTACTTATTTATTTTCTAAAAGACTGAAGAACTTCTATAGAAAGGCCTTTGTGGGTCACACATGTAACCTTTCAGATCTAGAATACAAATTGTCGGGGGCAGGACTACTCGGCCTGACGACAACTCGGACCTCTACAAAAAAGACAACTCGGACCTTTACAGAAAAGACAACTCGGACCGTCTACAAAAAAAAATACAACTCCGTCTATGACAACAACTCGGACCGTCTATAATGCCAACTCAAAAAAAGTATGCAAAGAGAGTGTTTAATAACGTACAAATAAAAAATCTAACAATACTGATTTTGACATCAACATACATTTTTTTGTGTACAATCAATGTCTTAGGTAGTCCAACATAAATTGGCGCAACAACCCTCTGCCCCTCTGGACTACACTCTGTCCACTGCATTTTTGACTTCAGGAGAAAAATAAAACTTTTTATCTAAATCCAAAATAATCTTTTTTCATAACTAGAAAAAGCTTTTAACCCAAGTATACAATAATCATTAATCAAGCAATAGTACACAAGTTTATTCAATTTTTTAATTTTTTTAAATCCTTTTCAAATAAGAAAGTAAGTATACACTTGCCCCTCTGCCCTTAGAATATGGATTACAAACATAAAAAAGAAAAGCATGAAATCTATATTCAAACAAAACTATAGTAAACCCGTATTTTTACATTAATACGATTTGTGTATAAACAATTGGCCTCTTCTGGTTGAATACATAAACACTGAAATTTTAATATTACTTTTTTTTCTAAACCTTCGAAATTCTATCCAAAAGACAATCAAGAATTCCAACTTAATATTATCCTTAACCCGAATAATTCAGTCCTTATATTACGCTGATCTACGATGGCTAGTATCTCCCGAGAGATCGATTACGGGGAGGGACTGAATTATTCGATTAATGCAATCATTTGTGATATACTCATTCTTCACCACAATGAACAAAGTTGTCATGTAAACGAAACATTGACTGTTCACTTTGTTTCCAATGATTTCTTATCCTAAAAAAAGAGATATTATTTATGAAAGTTGGTTGAAATGAAATTTAAACTTGACCGTATTAATGTTGGAGATTTAAAGGTACTTATTAAACAATGTTACTGTAAAATGTATGAAGAAAGAATTGTGGACGAAATTACAACAACTAGGGACTGTTTTGTTTTTGCCTTTGATTATTCATCATTTTTTATTTATTTCAAAGTCATATACATGACTGTTTAAATATCTGTCATTTAAAAATTGACTCTTACCGTGGTTACACATCTGATTTTTACGCAAACAATTAGTTTAACAAGAGCGAAAAGAAAGGAATGAACCTTTCATCAGTCGATTGGTTTTTGGTATTCTACTTTATATATTTATATATTATTTTCTTTATTTTGACAGGTTTTCATGTGAATACAGACAATGTACTGATTGCACAGACAGGAAGTGTAAACATTTATTAGTTTGATTTGTATTTAAAATGGCAACTGCAGTAGCATCTTCACAGATTTTTGATAATATTCCTAGTACAAGACAATTTGTTATACAGTTAGACGACAATACAAGCTATCCCGAACATGTTTTACTTAAAATAAACAAAAGGAGTGGATGTAACCCGGGACCTTCTGATGTTGGAATCAAAACATGTTTTTCTTCACATTCGGCTCCGTCTCGTGGTACTTCAAACGTAAGACGAGAAGACAGTTATAACTTTTACAAATCTATTACAAATATGGATAAATGGCCGGGTGATGATACATATGACATTGCTAAAATACAGGAATGGAAAGATTGGAGGCGGAAAGCTAATTTGCATATGGCGAACACGATCATTGACGAAGAATGTCCCGGACTCTCTCGGATTAGCGATTTATCAACCCATCCAATTGAAAATGACATTGTTTTCAATGTGTATAAGACAACAAGGTCATCCGAAGGTTCAACGTCAGTGCTTGGTGTTACGTCATTCAGTATGTTCGGGATTCCTCGGATTCAAACACATGCCGAATTCGATGACAAAAGTAGCCTCCATGTGGATGATTTAATGCCGCCAGATTACGAAGACTGTTTCTATGGTAACGATGACCTTCCTCCGGACTACGACGATGTGTTTGAGACATAGGACGTCAATTCTACTGTGTGGAGTACAATCAAACGTTCAAGTATATAGTGCAGGCAGTTCAAACATGTTAAATGTTTACTGTTTATTCTCGGTAGGCCAAACGCTTTGAACTTTAAATGAAAGCTGTGTTGATATTAATGTACACTGTCTATCAATAGTGCCGAAAACAGATTGAAAACAGAATAAATTATAATCTGAATTTGTCAAAATATGGTATCGTAAAATATGAACTTTATGTTTTTAAGTGTATTTTTGTTATACACATCGTTTGCTTTTATGAATTTAATCAAACATGATACACGTAGTAATGCAAGTAGTCGGGACTGTTTTAATGTTTCCTATCCAGACTCTGTGAACTTATTATATGGAAGCTGCTTTAAACAACCGGACAGTTACTGCAAAATGCGACATGAGCAGAAGTTAATTTTATTCAAAACAAGTTTGAAGTTTATGTAAATAGATCATAAATGTAGTTTGAGTTATGAAATGTAATGTGTTTTACATGATTTTATACATCGTTTGGTTTTATGACTTTTATACCTCAATAAATAATTTTAACAAGACCCATGTCTAATTTTGAGGTGTATTATGGATCATTTAGACATGCTGACCATTTGGTATTTCCCTATCAAAAAGAATCAAAGTTTATCCGTAAGACAAAATAATTGCATTGTAAACAACTATTCGAAATACAATGTAGACACATGATTAGCATGGTAGGATTGGCCAGGTTGAATACTCAGACGTCCCTTCTGTTTTTATTGCAAATAGGGTACAGGTCAGTAACAAATGGTACATTAGAAATAAAAGACAATTCAGGATTTAAAAACTATCAAATCAATAACTTCTTCATATATACATAACGGTATGACAGACACATATATACAAACTACAGTATATACAAGCAGTAAAACAATATTAGACATGCATTTTATCTTTCTTATATCAGCCACTGTATTTCTGAGAAAACTTCATCCCAACATCATTATAAACACAGCTATCAAAAAGCTATCAAACGATTTAGTCAAAATTTATAAATATGACAGACACATATACTAGCAGTAAAATACTATAAGTCAATGCTGATATAGAAATCATGTATTATACAATTCTAATATCAGCCACTGTACTCCTGAGAAAACTTCATGCATGATCATTATAATCAGAGCTATCAGAATGAAATCAAATCAAAAATATGGATATGTCAGACTCATATATACTAGTAGTTAAACAATATTAAACAATGCTGATATAGAAATCATGTATTATACAGTTCTAATATCAGCCACTGTACTTCTGAGAAAACTTCATCCCAACATCATTATAAACACAGCTATCAAAAAGCTATCAAACGATTTAGTCAAAATTTATAAATATGACAGACACATATACTAGCAGTAAAATACTATAAGTCAATGCTGATATAGAAATCATGTATTATACAATTCTAATATCAGCCACTGTACTCCTGAGAAAACTTCATGCATGATCATTATAATCAGAGCTATCAGAATGAAATCAAATCAAAAATATGGATATGTCAGACTCATATATACTAGTAGTTAAACAATATTAAACAATGCTGATATAGAAATCATGTATTATACAGTTCTAATATCAGCCACTGTACTTCTGAGGAAACTTCATCCAACATCATTATATACACAGCTATCAAAAAACTATCAAATGATTTAGTCAAAATTTATAAATATGACAGACACATATACTAGCAGTAAAACACTATTAGACAATGCTGATATAGAAATCATGTATTATACAGTTCTAATATCAGCCACTGTACTCCTGAGAAACTTCATGCAGCATCATTATAATCAGACCTATCAAAAGGAAATCAAATAAAAAATATGAATATGACAGAAACATATACATGTAGTACAACAATATTTGACAATGCTGATATAGAAATCGTGCATTCTATCTTTCTAATATCAGCCACTGTACTTCTGAGGAAACTTCATCCAACATCATTTTAAACACAGCTATAAAACATGATTTTTTCCAATACAAAAAAAGAATAGTTATATACAGTATTTCATCTAACCTGAAAAATTCAGTCGTTATATTCCGCTGCTTTAACTTTAACCTCGCAAGTACAAGATATATCGATGGCGGCGAGGACCTGAATTATTCCGGTTATATTTTAATACATGCATATAGACAATGAATAAATCATTTCAGACTTGTTTCAATAGTGTAAACAAGCAATCATTATGAATCGCCAATAATACAAGAGTTAGCCAATGATTTCGCAATAACAGTACACTTACTGTAGAAATTTCATCAAATCAAGAAGTCTATTAAGATTTGAAGGACAATTCTAAAACTTGATGATGATATTACTATAAAAGCCTATGGCAATACATTTTTAATAACTTTTTTGTATCAGACTTTCGCAGCGAGCATACTGTATCTTGGTATTGCTTAAGGTCATGTTTGTCTCCGACTGTTAATGATGTCTTTACACTAAATCCATTGGATGTTGGATGTATACTGATTGATATTTTAGTCCTAGATGCATGTTTTTTTTTTATTAGTTGTTTATTAGCTTTGAACTATCTGTCAGTAGCTTCGAGTACTCTCAGATCTGAATTTAGTGTCTTTTTGTTGTGGGGATGTATAAGTACCCTGCCATGTCCACTCTGTGTTTTTGTTAGACGTATTTCTGCTTTGTATCCAACTGAAGAAGTTAAGCCCTTTTCAACTGAATTTTATAGTTTGTTCTTATGTTGTACTGTTACACCACTGTCCCAAGTTATGGGAGAGGGTTTGGCCACAGCAAACAAGTTTAACACCACCACATTCTTTATGTGACTGTCCCAAGTCAGGAGCCTGTAATTCAGTGGTTGTCGTTTGTTGCTGTATATCAAATTTGTTTTTGTTCATTATTTTGTACATAAATCAGGCCGTTAGTTTTCACGTTTGAATTGTTTACATTTGTCATTTCGGGGTCTTTTATAACTGACTATGCGGTATGGGTTTTGCTCATTGTTGGAGGCCGTACGTTTTTCCTATAGTTGTACATTTCTGTGTCATTTGGTCTCTTGTGGAGAGTTGTGTCATTGGCAATCATACCGCATCTTCTTATCTTTATATAGATTGTCTGTTGATGAGTGCCTAATGTCAAGTAGCAAATATGTCATGCATATAAAGGACTTTATCAAGTTAACAATACATTCAATAGACGAGGGAGGATTGCCTCCCCTGACCCATTGTGAGAAAACTTTCTTAAAATAGACCCCAAAAAATGCCTGATTTGGGACAGATACGTCCATCAACACCTAATGATTTAAAAGCAGTCGTTTCTTTTACTAATGAGTCATTAGAACTGAGGAAAGGAGACCAATAACTGTTTTTAATATGTATTAACTGAGTTTTTCTATTATATGTTTTTATATGTATTGCTGAGTTTTGTTATGTTTGTTTTGTGTCTGTATTGCTATGACCAAAATGGTTTTGATTGTTTTGCAATAAAGAATTCGAATTTAAAAAAAATATGAATATGTGGGGGTTTTACTTTTTCCTCGAGATAACAATGAGGGGCAGGGGCGTAGCTACCTTCTTAATGAAGTGGAATCACAAACTATAGGGCGGAGTTTGGGGACCGCCTAAGGCCTCCAGTAGGTCCAGGGCAAAGCCCTGGTAGGGGGACCAGGGGGGCGAAGCTCCGCATATATAGCGTTTCAAAACAATCACAACCGAAATAAAACTTGGACAACTTTCTTGTGGTATTTTGGTCAACTATTTGTTTAACTTCGAGTCGAATGAAGACTTAACATTGTCGCTTGCGTTTTTTGTACGTGAAAGCTTTTGAAATCACGGAGTTTTGTTCCATATGCTAGTATTTGTATTGAGCAAAGTAGATTAAAAAAAACAACAAACAATAAACATAAACACAATACTATATGTGGAGTTTCTGTTAGCAAAACATCATGGATACGAAATACTTGGTGGACACATTCTCATATATTTTGCTTACCATATGTATTTAGATGTTTAAAAATTTTGTGAGTAAACTCTACAAGAGAGAGATGGGAATTTCGAGTTTTACGTAGTTAGGAATATTCGAAGTTGAAATTAATGAACTTTTTCAGAGTAAATGGTTCTTTGATAACGATCTTTTTCATGATCTGCGTTTTTAATTAGCCAGCTAATTAACAAATGCATATGCATTCGACCAGTTGTATGGCAATATCTAGATGATAACAGTGAAGATACGTGTAATAAAAGTTTGGTGTATCTTTCGAACAAGAATCAGCAGTTTAGTGTCCTACTCGGACAGACAGTTCTTTTTAAAATTGAATGACCTAATAGTCTAGTAAAACGAGTTAGAATTAACAATTTATTTAAATGGTTTTACAATCAACCATTCGTATAGCCGGCCCATATAGGAACGACTTCGAATTATCGAATCTATATAAAAGATTTTTTTTGTAAAATAAATAAAAACGTAAAACATGTACTGGAAAATGTGTACCTTTTTTTTTTAATAATAACAGCAGTTCCAACTTCTCATCTACTAGTATACGGAAACTATTGATTGATTGAATGGTTATTAATGTCCGGTAGCAAATATTACATGCACACAGGACGAGATACGTTGACGTGATGTGAAAATGAACTATTCGTGTTGTCAAGACCTACATACTTAGTCAATATTGAACTAGTTCACAAGGTTACAGTCATTATTCCCGGATCAATACGAGTTGAAGAGTCTTCATTCTAGTAAGATGTATGCTTTGGGGCGAAGCGGAAAATAATGATTTTCAAGTTTTTTTGTTAACCCTAGAGGGATTATGTTTTTTTTTTACACTCAAAGAGAGTATACGGTATGGTTGTGGTACCAACAACTATGTAGCTGGTATTTTCTAAACAATGCCCGTAATATAAAAAGTTCCTCTAAGTTTACACCAGCTGTATGTATTTATCGTACACATACATGTCTTACATGATGTTAACTCTCTCTCTCTCTCTCTCTCTCTCTCTCTCTCTCTCTCTCTCTTTTTTTTTTTTTTTTTTTTTTTGTGAAAACGACGTGGATGCACGTGCTGCCGTGCCTCCGGGTAGCTACGCCCCTGAGGGGGCGGACAGGGGGTTACCTTTCTCCTTTCTCCCACCCCTTCTCTCCTTTCTCCCACCCCTCTCTCCTTTCACTCGCCCCTGTCTCCCTTTACCCTGTCTGCCCCCTCAACAATCCTCCCATTTTTTTATCTCTATCAGTGGAAAGACAAATGCTTTTTAATTAAAAATACATACAAATCAGAAAAAAACTTAACTCTATGATAACGACATATTCCTCCATCAATACTTTCCAAATGATAAGCAGAGTAAGAACGATAACTCCGGTGTAAATAGACTATTCCGTATTCAGTTATGGAATATACTTGCTGGTAAAAGATCAATCTATATAAAAGCTACGATTTTCGTTCGCAAAGGTTTGCATTTAATTTGCTTTTCTACTTTTCCACAGAAAGCGGAATTAAGCGTTCTTGAATAAGGAATAAACTTTTAAGTTATGACACAAAACTTAATATGACGCCTACAT